TCCTGGAAATGTGAAGGCTTTTCAATCAATTTCATTGTCTCGAAATACAGTTGCGGAAAGAGTTACTGATTTAGCCGCGAATTTAAGTGATCAGATCAAATCATCTAGTTTCGAAAGTTTCTCCATTGCCTGTGACGAGAGCACGGACATTAGTGGCAAAGCTCAATTAGCAGTGTTTTCTTCTTGTGACAAGAATTTTAACATTTTTGAGGAATTACTGGAACTAATACCGATGCCTGGTACTACCACAGGAGAAGATATATTTACTTGTGTTTTTGGACTTCTGCAGAAATACAATCTACCTTTGGCAAAATTAAATTCTGTAGCCACAGATGGCGCTCCATCAATGACCGGGAAAAACAAGGGCTTCGTAGCATTACTAAGAAAAAAACTTAGTGAAATTCACGGTTCATACATTCATCATATGCATTGTATTATACATCAAGAAGTTTTCTATGCACGAAAGTAATAAATATGGAGAATGTTTTGTGATATATATAAAAAAGTTATAAATTTTATAAGATCTCGAGGTTTAAATCAGCGTCAATTCACTGCTTTCTTAAGTGAGTTAGATAGTGAATATTCGGGTTTGTCCTACTATACCGAGGTACGCTGGTTATCTTGTTCCAAGATTCTCAAACAATTCTGGGATTTGAAAGAAGAAATATGTCAGGTTTTAAAAACGAAAAATCAAGACGTAAGTTTATTTTACGATCCAATATGGATACAAAATTTATCTTTCTTGGTTGATATAACCAAACACTTAACGGATGTAAATTTACCGTTACAAGGAAAAGATCATATCTTTACGAACATGTTTGACATAATTAAAGCATTCAAATGTCAACTAGTTCTTTGGGAAAAACAACTTAAACATGAAGATCTGACGCACTTCCCGACGTGCAGCATGAACAAATCAATTTTAGATGATACTTGTTCGTATCGAAAATGCGCAGAAAAAATTGCAAATTTAACAACTGAATTTGAAACGAGGTTTAATGATTTTAGTTCTCTCGAAGACAATTTGTTTTTTGTTTTCTTCGATTTTCTCAATAAGTATTGACTCAGTATCCAGCCATATGCAAATGGAGGTGATCGAGATTCAATACAACTCAAATTGGAAAGCAAAATTCATTGAAGTGGGCGTGCCTGAATTTTACAAATATTTAACAGCCAAGTTTGAAAATACTCGAAAATTCGCATATGAAATTATTTCCATGTTTGGTAGCACTTATCGGTGCGAGCATTTATTTTCAGTCATGAAAGGTAATAAGTCTCCTATTAGAAACCGCATTAATGATACTCACCTTGGGTCAGCGTTGAAAGTTACCACTGCAAACAAAATTTCTCCCGAAATAGGAAAGATAATAGCAGAGAAGAGATGTCAAGTATCAGGACGTAAACATTAAATTTTTCTTGTTCTTTTCTATATAAATATATATTATTATGTTTATTATGTATTATTCGAAATAAATCTACGTTTCTATTAATATTGATTTTTTTTGCGGCCCGCCTAAAGTTAAACCTTTTTTGTTTGGCCCAAGTGTACCTATGAGTTTGACATCCCTGTCCTACACTATGTTAACTCAACCATGTATATTATCAGTATTATAATAGAAATAATCTTTTTAAAGACAAGTATGAAGACATAATTCTCTAAGATTTGGAAAAGAAATGTGATCACTCAAAATTAGAAAATAATTAAATGAATAAAAGACTCTGGAATTTAGACAATCGCTTAACCTGGAATATTTAACTAAGAGATGCTCGCTAGTAAAAACGTAAGCGTATACTATCATTTTTCACAAAATAAGCTGCGATGAGTAAACTTTATCTTGTTTTTGATTTCTTTTTCAGTTTATTTCAGTTTATTTTTATTATTTTCAGTTTATATTTATTTTGTATTAAAAATTTATTTTATGAATCTGACAAATATTGCCTATTTTATACAAAGTTTATGCGAAAAAAAGTGACTTGAGCTTTATTTAAATTAAATGTTGATTCATGTATCTCTAATAAGAAGTTTTAAAGTGCCGCCCAATCAGTATAGTAGTCAGGGAAGCTGACTGCGATGCCGAAGGGCCTGCGTTCGAATCGTTGAGAAGGCATGGTTGTAACAGTCCTTCTCTTCATAAGAAAAGCGATAGTGGCCCATCCATTAGGTGCCTCCATAATAAAGAGACCACCATATCCGACCTTGTATAAATTAATGGACTGGCTTGATACTGTAGGTTTGAAGGATTTTTATAAATACAAAATGTAGCTTACATTTCTGTTTTGATTACGATTCTGTTAATTATATTGGGAGTGTAAAATTTTCAATTTGTAGAATATGTATTATGGTCAGAAAAATAAAATTTGTTCTACATCGTTATATATACCTTTATTGAATAAGTAAATTTACAGGCATACAGTTGAAAATCTATATATCATTAAAACCGAAGATTTTTCATCAAAGAAATAGGAAAACTACACACAAAAACTGACTTATTTTGATGACCAATATTTCTGCATTGATTAAAGTAGCACATAGCATACCTTTCTGAAATTACAGTTGGTGAAGGTATAAAATGGGAAAACTAAACAACAGACTAATTACGTATATTGACCGTTAATGAATCTTAGTGACCATACCATAGTGAATTTGTATTTGCGTCCCATGAAATTATTAAGTACTCATATCTCTGTGAATTTCGAGTAGGAAAGCATGGAGTATTTGTATATTTAACTCTCTAAAGTCTTATATTTAAATAAATTAAATTTGTCTTCTATAGGGCCATGCAAATTATTAGGTCGTAAGGTATTTTTCTAGCCTTCTTAGCATGCCTTCGTGGTGTAGTGGACAGCGCGTTCGACGCGTATTCGAGAGATTCGTGGTTCGAGTTCCGGCGAGGGCATTGCTCATTTTTTATCTCTCCTGCTTTAAAAAAATACTTAATGTCTGTGCAAGGTTTTATATCTACGGAGGGTGGTATAGTTCGACCGTCTATAGCGCAACCCTGGTTGGCATTCAGCCAAAACACATAGACTCGTCCAAAAGGATCGGTATTACTTGCTGGACGTGAAATGTCTTCTCCGGAAAGAGCTATGCTGGAGGGAAAGAAAGTCCCCATCCTTCTACCCTATGACGATCTTTTCCGATGACTTATAATAATGTTCCTGTACCTTCTGTGTCCATCCCGGTATTTGGTCTTCGGGATAGGCAACGATGCGTAATTTGTGAGAAGCAGGAAGTTTCTGCCATGTATGTAACTAACGAAATAGTCTACGACTTTAACTATGGCAATCAACTCTGTCCTGATGACACAGTAATTTCTCTACGGTTTATATAGAAGCTTGCTCAAGTATGCTACGACGCGTTCTTGGCCGTTTACTTCTTGGGTCAAAACAGCACCAATACTCTCATTGCTCGCATCGGGTCAGATAAGGTCTTTCAGTGGGTACGAGGTCTCTGAAAATTAATCTCTTTTAGTTTGTAAAATGCATCCTGATATTCTTTTGTCCCAGAACATTGCTACTCTTATCAATCTAAAAATTTGCAAAGAAAGGTCTTTATACGTTCCATAGTAGATGCTCCTACAGCAGGTGTTGTCTTCAGAGTATTACTTTTCTGTATTACCTTTTGCTCATTAGAATCTTATTAATCTTCGTAAATGTGAAAGCTCTGTAATTAATAGGTTTAGGTAGAAAACTGAGGACATAGATAGTAGTTGCTCCAGAAAAAAGATTTCTGGACGCTAAGGCAAGGGCGAAACAAAATGTCCACAGCAGATACAGCTTGCATCTTTGCGAAACAGAGTTTTCTTTCAGCTGCTGTTAATGTTTCACTATGGGTCACCTTTCTAATTGTTCCATTTTCATTTTATACGTTGTTGTGCTTTTTAACCTTTCCCTCATATAGTAATACAACTGTTTCACTATCTTCTAAAAGCCTGTAGCCTAGTTTTTTTTATCTCTTCTGTCCTTTATAAGATCTCTTTTCCTGAATGGTCCTACAACCTTCTCCAGGAATAAAGCAGGTTTACTTACTCATTATCATTCCAAGATTCAGATATCCATTTTTCTACTTTCAAGATGTCTATTTTCCTATTTTTGCAATTATGTCACACCTTTACTCCATGGCTAAGACAAAATGTTAAAGAAATTCACTTCTGTATCTCTTTATCAATGCTTCCCAAATGCCCTGCTTTATTGATTGGCATACCGAAGTCATGCTAGGAGGGAGTATCGTGGCTTTTATGTCTTCACCTTGTAAATTATCCTTATCAGGAAGGAATGAGACATTATTGAGAATGCGAAGTGCTCTCTTTGGTAAAGGTTTCGATTGAGATAATTAACTTCTAAAATAAAAAATAAACTATTAATACATTCCATAAAAATGGCTCATTTCATCTCTGAATTTGACTGATTTTTTTGTAAGAAACAGGAAGATTATAGAAGTTGCCAGACCCATTACTTATTTTTTCACATTTTAAAAACTCCTAGGGATTTAGCATTCGTTTATGAAATTAACGTATAGCTAGTTTAGCTAGTTTCAGCTTACGGCTACCTATATCATTGCTGCATGCTAAGATGTTAGCTAAGCCTGGGGTCGATTCCCTTCCGTCTTGCACGTGACGATGCCATTTTTTGATCCTACATTGCCATCTGATCGATTCGATTCGCCTTTAAAATACTAAATTTATTCGTAGATTTACTGGCTAGGATTCTGAAGTATTAGTTTTGAATATTACATATAAGTTCTTTAAGCAAACTCATTCAGTTAATTGAAACTAAATCCTTTTCTCATGATTTGATTTATCTAAAAAATTTCCATAATTTGCAAATAAATTTAAATATTTTATTGAAAGAAGAGTTTACAATTATGTTCTAAATCTTAAGTACAATGTTTTATGCATACATTCAAAAGTGATAACAGTAAACAATATCAGTTACAACAATAATAACAATACCCCTACAAAACGTTTCTAAAATTTCGATTCTTCGTTTGGCTCTCCTACCAAACTTGACACTTATTTTTTCGGTTCATTTTAGAATCTTCTGAGCACTGAAATGCTTTTGCAAACTCTGGCATATTAGATATCATTCCTATAGTTCTGTAAAAGAGAAAACATATTTTAAATACATGTATGAGGAGTGCGCGACTTTCGCTTGGAGCATTATCAAAAGGGTTTTATTTGTGGAGATGTCTGTTATTATAGATATTTGGGATATGGTGTCAGAAGCAGTTTAGTGTTCGTTAGCAACATTGTTAACCACAGGATTCTATCTAAATTCTCCCTAGTTATCGTTCCACCATTAGCCGAGCGGTTGAGCTTGCTGAATACTGGTCGCCGATCTGGGTTTGAAATTCAGGTAGACGGCTGCTAGATGGTTTGTTTTCATGATATGTAAAGTCCATACAAACCAACATCTCTTAGAACGTCCTCCATAAAGTCGTACTTCTCCTCTGTCAAGAGCCCATTTGTGAAGATTTGCTATATTCAAATAAATTAACGCAATCTAACCTGCCCCTGACTCGCAATTCAATTTTTACCGATTATGCAAATGGCTAAATTTCTTGCTGGAGCGTAAGAAAGTGTATGTTCGGTTACATTCACAGAACCCCATTATCGTATATTCCTTCTACGCTGCTCTTTATATTAACTTATTGGTAAACTATTTGTAATCAATTACTGAGATGATAATGATGTATTTATACTGATTTTATTCTTGTTGTAGAAAGTTGACGCCGTGAAAATATTAGAGTTTCTTTACGGCAGATATTGCAGCCCAGACCCTCATAAGAAGGTGGTACACTTCTCTTAAAGAAAGGCTGCCAAAATATATTCAAGGATGTCGATGATAGCAACTATGTAATGTATTTATATTAATTAACCGATTTTTATGATTTTAAAGTTTACTATTATTTCTCATTTCCACTAACCATCACCGGGATGCAAATAAGATTGAAGAGAATTTCAAGGGAGGATTTTTAGTGCTTTAGATGTAAAGCTTTTCGCAACGTGACTTGCAGCATTATTTTATACCGCTCAACTCGGCCTGTTACATTACGGCATTAACCATTTTGTTAGCCGATGTCGAAACGCCCCAAGTTTTAACTACCGCAGTTAGGCCAAATTTGCGTAAGCTCAGTTTACCATACTTACTTAAAATATGAAATTTGTGCTATTTTACCATCCGCAAGTAGCGGAGATTGATTGTAAATACAATTAATGTTTTCCTTTTGAAATAAAGTGACATAAAAATGTTATTTGAAACATTCATGGGACTGTCTGAGTAATAGGACGTTAATGACGGTCTAGGTGATTACAAAGTTAGAACTCTACGACTATAAACCGCGAACGCCCCTGAAATATTGTGACTCATAATTTTTCATTATTCACACACATTTAATGCACGAGTTTTTAATTTATGATTAAACTTCTGATTCATGAATTTCGTGGATTTTACGATTTGGCACAACTGCGAGTTGACGTTTTTCGTTAAATTCTCCAAAGAAAAATAAATATCTATAGTAAAAGATATTTCTCATAAATAGTAACGTACATTTATATTTTAGAACTAATATCAATGATTCTTGAATATAATATCATTATAAAGTTGAAATTATATTTCAGGTTGCTTAATTAGCCAACATTTAAGTTCTCGACTACTGACGTCCCTTTGAAGAAAATGTATCCTCCAGTTATTAAGGACTTTTACACCGACTGCTAACCCATCCAGCGAAATACTTTCTTCCGGCTACAGTAAGAAGAAATGCTATAAGGATAATATGATTATTTGTTTCTCTTACTGTTTTGCCTGTATTGCTTCTATTTTTAATATCAAATTAATCCATAGAGGTCTCGTCTAAGTTGTAGTTTGTTTGTAAACGCCATTTTGTTCTCATTCGAACGGATCAAATGAGCGCGCTTGTTCCACGTCGTTTACGTGATTCAGCGAATTTTTATTTTTCAGTTCTTAGCTTTTGGAATACATTTTATGGTTGATTTGTTAACTTTATTCATGTAAAAGTAAGTGAAAAACTGTTTTTTATCATAAAATAATGGCCGATTCAGAATCTATGAAGCTAAACTCTTGCCATTCAGACAATGATTCAGAATCAGAACATGAAACGTCTGTAAATGAGTCTGGAAGTAGTAAAAATTGTCTAGATGACTTCGCTACTAATATAAAAAAATGACGGTAAAGATACGAATTAACAGTTTCGATTGGAAGTTATCATTTGACTGATTGAAAGGGAAGCAAAAGTAGGCAGGTTAAAGACATGTCTTCTTGGGTGCTTAACAGCTCGATTAAGACCAGTAGAAAGAAAGTTTTAATGTGATTTTACTGACATGAAAAACCTAATATCCGCAAGACGGAGATATGTGTGTTCATTGAAAGAAAAATGTCAACAGCAAAAGAATTAGAAAAGAAACTCGGTACATTTCTCTGAGCTGTCATGTTGAACATTACCTCTCGCCTTGTTTTAAGATATATCACACTAAATCAGATCTTTGAAAAAAAAGAAAGGTAAGTAAATGTAAATGAATCGAAACAATCGAAATATAATCGAACATAATTGTAAACAAATGTTATTTTCAATATATACAACTGTAAATATAACTTCTTTGTTAGGCGGCTTCTGTAGGAAGAAAAGGCTAATTCCAGGGTTGGTTTGGTTTGGTTTTGGTTTATTCGATTACGGCAAAGCACTCGAGAGCTATTTGCCTAAGGGGAGGGAGGCCTTCCTGGATGACTTTCCAAGAGAAACTGTCTCATATACACGTTACGCATGGGGAAAAACACGAAAACGCCCATGCAGCCTGCTCGTTTGCATGATTCGAACCTCGGACCGAACTATAGTGTACAGCGACTTTACCGCTCGACCACTGGTGAGCTGGTCCAAGAAAACTACTATTATTTTATTTGCAATAAAGTGTTTTTATAAATGCTTAAAAATTTTACAAAAATTTATTTTAATAACATTTTCCTACTTACAAAAATAAAATTTAAAAAATGCCATAAAAAATGTGATTATTTTTTGGATCGAATTCAAGAAAAATGAAACGGTTAAGAAATTATGTCTGCTAACAAAATATCAACTAGTTAGCAATATTTTGCTATCAGTACTTCTCGAATCCGATCTGAAATACTCTAAATAATATCTCAAAAAATAAGTAATACGATGATTCAAAATTTAAATGTGCATATTACTTAAATCTGAAGCTATCATTTCGAATTTTCTGGGTGTTGAAAAAATGTCCTTTAGCACCAAAATAATTTTTGAACCTTGATAGCTAGTTCTGTGGAAGTTGTGTCCATTTAGAGTAAAATAACTGTCGTATGTCATTCAAGACAGATTGTACAGCTTTTAAGTCGAATTTCTAAAGTTACCCATTTTATCGCTAAAAAGAGATATAACTAGTTTTCAAGGCTACAGTAAAAGTATAGAGCTTCACCGTTTATTGTGATATGACACTGTTAGATGCCAAAAAGGGACGGTTATGTCTGTGTATTACCCCTTTGTGATGGAATTTTACGTCATCCTGTCAAACAGTATTAGACAAGAAATCAAGTTATATACTCAGTATAAAAATCACGAACACGCATGATTTGTAACAACCTCTGATAATGTCTTGGCAACCAGTCTTGTGTTAGTGCCGAACTGTAAGAGTGATTTCGCAATTAATTTAAACGTTTCCACACACACTCAGATGTAAAGTACACACCACAATGATATCTCTCGTACTGCGGTTAAGGTAAATTACACATGTAATACTCCTTGTTTCTGTAAAGATTTTGATTATAGTAGTCACTGGGAGATAAGAGATATTAAGTAAACTTAATTCAGAGTGCTATGTCGCCATCTTGTCCGACGAAAATGCAGTCCATGCAATATCTAACAAATCTTCTCTGATTGCCAATTTATGCTTTCATATTAGGTATGACTTTCTTTTTGCGTACTATTATTCATCCATCATTGAGGCAAACTCTTTGAAGATTTTATGCCTTGAGATGTCATTAGAGACTTATTCACCAAACTGGATACTGATGTTTCTTCATTTCAGGTCTTCTGATATTATTCTAATCGTTATTATAGATCCGCTAATCATTATTCTAATTTATGTAGGACGTACCTCTTATGACAACGAGATAAAAGTTTTGATTCTTGAAAATGCTATTGACATTTTTTCTCTATCTCTGAGAACTTGTGAGTAAATTTCATAACTTTCTCCTCTAGGGGTACTACTACTGATTTCATTCGAACATCATAGTCATTCTACTGTTCAGTAAATATCTTGTACAACTGCAGTTTTTCTGAACTCGAGACCTATTTCACTGTTTAAGAGCTTCACCTTGCGTATGTTTGTATATATCATTATTAGGCCAATTTATACTATTTAGAAAGGAATTTAATATTTTCACTTACCTAACGTCACTTGGCGCATGTGCACCTTCATTCTTTGCTACATCTGTGTATTTCTCACACATTACCTGGAAAATATTAATGTAATTACGGTGACTAATAGTAACTGTACATTTTATGGCAGTGGATGTGAATGTATTTTCAGTTACTTTAAAATCAATTGGTTCTCAAAGGTAAAAGAAATTAAAGGTGGGTATTTTTAGATTAAAAGTTAGAAACGTAAACAGAGTTTTACTATGAGCTGTATATCGTTCCATTACATGAATTATTATTCTTAAACTATTCATACTACTAATTCATTTCTTTGTATTTGAAATTAAATTATAAAAGAATTTCTGCTTCCATTTTTTATTTATTAAAAATTTATATAAAGAAAAATATTCATTTTAAACTGCTCATTGTTATTTTGAGCACCGTCTCTATTATGCTTAACTCATTAAATCAAGAAACGTATGCTGAATAATTATCATAGAGCTTAAATCTAAAGCAATATTTAAAACGCGAATTATTCAAAGTGTTAAATGTGTCTTGCAAACGGCCACAAAGCCAAATGATATAAACTTCGGTCCATATCTTTTGTTGCATTTCCTATATCAGTGGTAATTATAACAACATTGATTAATTCCCCTACCAACATTGTTGCCTTGAGAATATTTATAAAACTACAGTTTCTAACATATACAAAGGGCATCGCTTTAGATAAATATCTTCGACGGGGATTTCTTATGATACGTATTTTAAGAAAGAAAAATTGCTTCTGTAGGGCAATCGAGAAGTCTCTAGAAATGATTATATATATTCCAGTATACTTTCACCCAAACATTCTCAGAATGATATTTACAGCTAAATAATCATGTAATCGCTTAATTGTTATAAATGTTTTAAATGTGTTATGTGGTAAACACTGCACTTACTCTTGCTGTGCTTATAAAGAACAACTGATCTTGTGTATAATTCTGCAGTCCCGGTAATTTCCCTTCGCTTTTATGGTCTTTTACCCACGACTGATAAGCCTGCAAAAATACAGAACGATTCAGAGTTAAAATACGTTCTCAAAAGTACGTGTTCTTAAAACATGTTCTCAAAAGCAAAATTGAAAAATAAATTTGGGTTTAAAAGCTGTTGATCATCACAATATTCAACTATGACCTTATATAATGTAAATTTATGTAATGGATGCATATCGTGCATTTATGGATATATATATATATAAATTACTATTTAAATTAATAAATTACTATTAGATTGAAATTAATATTTAAAATACTTACATAAAATCTGACTAATTTTTTTCATGTTTTTAAATTGAATTTGTATTCTTTGGAGATGGTATATGGAAAGTTTTCTTATTATAAATTATTATGAATTATATAAATATACACGTACATGAATATATATGTACCACGTGATTTGTATAAAGTGTATAAATTTCATAGACAGATAAGTTACTCAAAGAACGATTCGTAATTCCATAAAATAATTGGGGTGCAAAAGCAGTCTTTATATACTAGTTCGACGAGAAGAAAGCACAAGAAATAAAAGAGAGAGTGATAATATTTTAATCCAGCGAATCATTACATTTGCGATATTGAGAATCCGCATTAGGAGCTTGAAGTTACAGCTACAAGCGTAGTACCGGTATAGCATATAATCATGGATATTTTGAAATATATAAAGAACATCAGCGATAATCTCTCTAGCTACGCTAATGCGCAAGACAAGATAATCCTCACTGGCTATGAGTGTTTCGTACACCAGGGCTTTTCAGGTGAATCTCGGAGGAAAGAAAAACTAGGTGAAAGAGTTCCAGTGAACATACAGATCAAGGAGGAGTACCCCCATAATCAATCCACGTTTGACCAAACGTTGAATTCAAGTGTTTCCTAACGGAAAAAGTAAAATGGGCTGAAGCATCATCCTCCTAGGGCCACATCTCTTTGATCTCCTGCTGTTGGATGTTTTGCTCATATAACAGACCGGACAAGACTTCCTTTAAAGAAAATTGTATAAGGCCGTACATTCACACGAACAAGCATGAGATATGGGTCTGTTGGGTGGTCGCTAACAATGCTCCCCTCGAAACCTGATGAAAACCTGGTACTGTACTGCACGCGCTCGGGTACACTTAGTGTTGTTCAGTGCCCATAGCTATGCATTTTATTGTTACAAAGAAATGAATCCTTGACGACGAGGACGACAGCTAGAAAATGGGATGCTGTCGCAGATGCAACTCGCGATAAGTAATAAGCAGATAGCAGTTATAACAGCAGTTATCAGCGTTATATTTTCAAAATTTCACAGGACTAGCTTCGATGGTTTTACCGAGCCACCATCCTCAGCTGCAAAACCGCTCATTTTTGCGTGCGGTTTTGTAGCTGAGGATGGTGGTTCGGTAAAACCATCGAAACTAGTCCTATGAAAATTTTGAAAATATAACGCTGATTTTTGTTGTTTGACTTCTGAATTAGATAGCAGTTGCTCGACTCGCAGCTGACTGTATGAAAGCAAAGGATTCTCCAAAGGTTCATTTGGGAAACATGGGGTTTGTAGCGATCGCTCATCTGCTAATACATAGATTCCATTCTGCACAACGGAGCACCATCTCTCCTAATTCAGGTGTTCGTATCCTTGTTCCCAATCCCTTTTAAGTATCCCGAAAGATAACGTATCGGACAATCATTGATGCAGCCGCGCAAAAATCTGGTGAATCGGAAATCACCTATTCGTTACCGCATATTCGCAAAGCCCATTGCAAACACACACCATATGCTAGATGCAACTTTAAACGCGCTGTATAGTATTACAATAAACAGGATGAGTGATTTAAAAGCAAAAATATGCATTCGCTTCCTAGTACGTTTTCTTTAGTTTATAATAATAATAATAATAATATATCTCATTGCTATAATTTATACCAGTTTAACCGTTTTTTGATTTAGTTTAATTATGACAAAGCACTCGAGGGCCTAAGGGAAAAGATGTCCTTTTTGAAGGACTTTCAAAGAGAAAATGGCTCGTATACCCGTTACACATCGGGAAAACCATGAAAACGCCCATGCCTTCAACCATTTCGCCGGGATTCGAACTTCGAACCAAACTACCAGTATTCAGCGACTTTCCCTCTAGGCCGCTGGTGGGTCTATACTAGTTTAAATGTTCCCTTTTGTAAACATCAGGCAAGTAATGAAGGTCGTTTCAAATGATGCGCTTTAGATCTTAATCGACTAGACGTTAACCTAGTCAACAGTGATTTTGCTAAAGCTGTGCTAACTACAAAACTGAAATCAGATATATTTTTGGTCATACGCACGTTTTTAATATGAAATGCATTTTCCTGTTCATCGTTTTTTATTATTTTCTCTCACAAGATTAATCGAATACCATGAAATGAAATATTTCTATAAATCAGTTTGAAATTAACGTGAAAGATGAAAGATGCATAGGAATCGCATTCAATTTCTGCAAACAAAAACATAATTTTTTCTGCAGTGCGTAATGTTTAGTAATGGTTCAAATTTTCCAAGATAGCTTTCACGTATTTTTCTGCTTTTTCTAATAATTTTATCTTACCAAAATCGAGAGGGGAAATTGTATGGATAATTTAATTTTCGAAGGACACAGTTAGAGAAAGAACATAGCAAAACGTTTTCAAGGATAAATGATCGGTAGTTAACATTGTTATTTGTTCAAAAGAAACCTGCATTACACTAACAATGCATAGTAATATTAGCATTACAGTATGCAATGAGATTAATCCAGTAATTATTAATATGCAGGTAATAATACTTGGGAAGTCTAAATTTCTACTTCCCTGAGTCTTGAATCATGCTCTCCCTTATCCTCTGCTAATACTAAGCCCTCAAATCATTCAGAACTGCTGGGTCTGTGTCGTCTTTGCTACAGTTTTCAGATCATCCCATTTTCATCACTAGAATCGCCACCTTTTAGTCTGTCTTCTCACGTGCTGTGATATTCAGAGCCACAAAGAGCATTAAATGTCACTGTTTTTCTGAAACTCTTCATTATTATTGCTTCATCAACCGGAACCCACGAACCCAAAGTTCTCGGGCAAATGAATTAATGCGAAAAAGTAAACAAAATGTGGACGAACCTATTCTAAAATTTAGGGAAGCTTGTTTTCTGAAAGAAGTCGAAAGTTACGCCAATACATAAAACAATTTCAGAACCTAGTGGCTGAAAGACTAAGGGAAAACTACTCAAAAGAAGAAACCGTATGATATATATAACTTAAGTTTGCAAGTATGATAGCATAACATAAGTATGATATATATAACTTAAGTCTTTAAACCTTTCAGCTTTTCTTACCCTGTAAGCTGCATTTAAACCACTATTATCAGCTATACTTTCTCCTTGCTGTGCCTTCCCATCGATCTGCAAAGAATCCAAAGTTAGTTTGAATTAATATAGCTTTTTTTGTTTCATTTGAAAACAGAGGGATGACAATCGAGTGCTGGGTTAAAGCTTGTTTCTCCTTCCCTACCATAGAATAAGCCCTTTTAAATAAAGAAACCAGAGGGAAAATAAAACCTTTTCTGGGATTTTATGCTATTTCTCAATTATTTATTTGTTTACGAGAGTGCAAAATTTGTGTTCGGATCTTTTAAGTTTATTTCTCAGTTCATCAAGTGAAACCAAATAATCCTTTTTAAAATTATACTTTGATTTTGGTTTGAAAAATTTAATTAATTAATATGAAATTTACAGAAGACAAGGGAAAGCGAAAGTTAATATATACTATGCAATTTTATCTTTTGGAATAATTATTTAGCAATTTAGTTTTTTTTTTTTTTTTTTGATTATGAGTCAAGTAAGGTAAAATTGGAAATAAAAATATAAATTTTAATATTTTAATTATCTTAAATAAAGGAAAGTGTTTCTATTTCAAAATAAGGTACGCAATGCTTACGTTAACTCAATTAACTAGTCTATAGCTGCACAATTAAGGTTAATCATTTCTTTATGGAATAAACCCCTTTGAAAAGGCATTTTATTTAACTCCATCATTGTGATGTCGAAATTTCTTCAAAGCTTATAGAACATTTTCATACATGGAGAAGTTATATTAATACAGTAATTATTAAAACGTTTCACCTAAATTTAAATGACATGGAATTAAAGACATGAAGGCTGGTGCGAAAGTGATTAACTCTGCTTTTCTTTAAAGACCTCAGTTTCCTAAACGTTTTCGTATAGCAATTCGACTATATAAAAGCAACCTAATTCTCTAACATCAAACTTTACTCCTCAAAATGATAGTTCTTGGAACGAATGTTGAAAATGCTATGAGAGTTATTTTTGGCAGAACGAATGATGGCACAAATGTTGCAGAGAAGTTAAACTCGAACCTTTAAAGGTTCACCTGAGTTTTTGTGATAAGAATACTGATGTGGTTAAATTAAATTTAACACTTCGAATTATGCTATTTTCCCTCCTATTTCTTCGCAGGTGAAACAGACGTCCTATGCTGCTTTCTTTATTGCACTGATTAATTCTAATGCTCACTCGATGCAGACGATCTATATAGGGTAATTCGCGGCAACAAATGTTTGTATAGTCAGTCGTAGTTCAAGTAGTGTTTTACATGGTATTCTACCTGAAATGTAAAATATTATTACTTATTTATCTTCGAAGTTCCAACCGCACAGTATTCCTGGACACACTGGTAGAATGCTTCTTTAGTATCTGAATCTATAGTATCTCTTAGTAGTCATAGTAGGCCAATGAGGCCAACTTTAATTTTTGATCAAAGAAAACAGAGAGTTGTTGGCTCACTGATATGCAGAGTACGCATGTGGCTGATAATGCACTATACGGTCGAAATATCTTTTAATTGTGCTTTCTTTGTAACGTAAGTTATGCTGTTTTGCACCATGTGATTTCATACACTTCTTCTGTAAAGAAAATGTTAACACTTTCTAAAAGTTATGCTGAATTACTACAGACTTCACCTATGTGACGCGACTTGTCGGGTAACTTTTTAAAATAAGCGTATGTACGCAAGGCTACAAAGAATTATGTATGAAGTCCAAAACTGCAATGAATGAATTGCTTTGACATATTTTATTTATTATACTGATTTTAATATTGCAACATTACATTTGCAGCATTATCTCTGCGGTCTTGTTTAGGTATATCAGCGCAAGGCATTTAAAAGTGCATAGAAATCTGCATGTTGACTTATTTTGCAAATACATCTTTCCGAAGTTGTTTGGAAAGAAATTTACATATTATTCAACAGATTAATGTACTTATTAAGAAATTAAGAAGTGCGATAAAGTCAGTCATTATTTCACTGAACGATAGATCAATGAACAGCTAGTCATTTTTATTTTGCTTTTCCTGTCAGGGCAACTAATGAGTTCACAGGAATGCAAGGATTTGATTGAACACATTAATAGCTAACAACCTCCTTCCCTACAATAATTGAACAATCTGAAAGAATCCAGAAGTTAACGTCGCACCAGACAGTTTGTTAAGGTTTTTATTCTTTTCCTGTTTACCAAAATCTTAGCTCGCAGTTTACCAATCTGCATCTGGATTTAATTTTTGCTAAAACAATTTTTTTTAAATTTTATTATTAAACAAACTCTACACACTAAGCCGCTTAAAATTCAACAGTAATATCACAAAATCTTTAAAAAGCAGCTTATTTTTTAGAATATCAATGGGATTTTGTTAAGGGCTAGCCTAATTTTACTGTTTTCAGTCTTTTCCCAGTTCATCTTAGCAATGTTCAGCTTTCTTTACAAGATCACCTACTCAACCCCTTTTCTGCCTTTTTAACATTATTATTAAATACCACATTATTCTCACTCAAGGTCACATAAAATGCAACCGCAAAAACACAAAATTTTTAAGAGCAGCATATATTTTTGAATTCTTCGCGTTTTTGGAATTTTTCCTCGATTCATCATATCAGCGTTCAATTTACTTAGTAATATGAATTACAAAAACGTATTTTATCCAGTTATTAACCGCATGATGATCTTCCTCTTGCTTCTCATTACAAGCAATGTTATTTCTCATTTTCCTTCTGCTGAGCTATCCACAAGTAATTACAAAATTTTATTGTAGCATTTTAGCGAATTCCACAATTTTTATGGTATCAAACGAGGTTCAAGCGAGTCTAAAAATAGGGCTCATTTTTATTATCACAGTTTGAGATCATCCAAGAAGAGAGGTTTCAATTCTTTTGCACTTCCTTGAGATATCTGTACAATTTTTAGTTCATTATCAATTTTTATTTAATTATTAGTTTAAATGAGTGTTATCTTTTGTTGACCTTCTTATGGACATCTTAATATTGCTACAACCTGTCCTCTCCTAAGCCTTAAATCTTTCCTCTTAAAGATTTTCTACTTGTTTCAATTTGTTCAAACAACAAATTAAAAAAGAATTTTACTCCAATAAATTTCAATCTAAAAACTCGTACAGTATAACCGAAAGAGCAACAGAGAGACTGCACTTTATCTGTCCAATCGATCGTCCACTTCATGGTTACGAGAATTATCCATCATTTCTTGTTTTAAGTTCAGCCTTCAGGAATCATTCGTTTTCTGTTCAAAGATTCATAACGAAAGATAACGCCAGCAGTATTTCATGAGATCTCTATGAACATAATATGGTATTCCAACGGGAGAATGTTCAATGTGGTAAACTTAAATGATAATATGCGAAGGCTGCATTTCCAATCTCTCATTAATTTACTATATCTTTAGAGAATTGCTCTTCCTAACTTAAGTAAATTTTGTTCCTCTCCTCCGCATTTAGATGAAAGAGCTTTGGAAACAGTGTCTAACAGCGGTGGTAGAACTGCACTCATAGATATTTCAGCTAAACTCTTTTTTATCAAACGTTTTATACCTGAATGACAAATAAGCTAAAATCCTAAATAAGTTAAATGGATGAACTATAAAACAGCTTTGATGGGTACCAGAGGGATATTAAGACACTGAAAAATTATCCCTTTGCTGGTCTGATTTTAAAAGCGGCGAAGATGAGTTTACTAAACGGCAGTTTTCCTATTAATGATTAGTATATATTTGCTTAGGGTTTTGAAATTTAAATGTAATAGCTGCTGATTTTACTAAATAATGAGTTTAATAAGCGTCATACTATGTGCATATTTATATATAAACAAGCAAACCCACATACACACATGTGCATAAGAAGAAAAACAGCTATGAATCTAGCTTACCTTCCTCCCGTACATATCAGTATAGTTATCATACTGTTTTATTAGACAGTTGACCTTCTTTTCAAAATTTTCGGCAGCTTTATTTCTGATCCAGTCGACGTAATTACCATTTTTATCAAAATAGCGACCTGTAAATTTATCGGCATTAAAACTGACGCAAGAGTGCGCTTATAATCTGAAACAAAGCAACCTAAAGCTAGACTGTAAAGACAATGGAATAGTAGGTAATATGTATCTCGCTTACAGCGTCTTTGTTGTGTAAAATTATTTTAATAAACTTCTAGTAAAGCATCTGGCATTTAGAGATATCATTTCATTTTGAGAATTGATTCATATATTGAGAAAAAGTGAACGCCTTATTAGAAAATAATTTTTAAACTTTTGTAGCCGTAGCTAATACCAGAATTTCAATATCTCTCTCGGAAACTAGTATCTGACTGGTCAACGTTTTTCTTTCTAAAGTTCTTACCATATTTTTATTATGTACTGCATTTTGTCCCTAATAAAAAGAAAAAAATACTCTTCTTTGCGAATTTGGGAAGAAATTTAAAACAATAAAAATGGTTTTTGTTTAAAAATATCGAAATTTTATATTTTCAAATTCTTATTTATTTACTTTTTATAAACTAACTGGCTGAAAGAATTTTTCAATAAGATCTTTAAACACGTTTTAACAATCATTGCATTCAGCCTTTAAGGAGAAAAGCCATATTAATATGTAGATAATTTTATTATTGGTGTACATTTCTCATTTTCGCTTTTAAGATTAGGATCAAACGTTTGATAGTTTATTTACAGAATTAAATATATTACGAAGGAAAAACTAAAGATGTAATTTATGAAGGAAGTGAAGAGAAATGAACACACAATGGATTAGTGGAATCGAAAACTATAATAGTAATAGATGAAATATAAATAAAATGATTAATGATTAAATAACGAAATCTCGTTTAAATCAATAAGAAATGCAGGTGATGAGCCTAAAATTGCAGAGATAGAAACATCATTGATCGGAATTCTCGATTTTTACTTTTGTTTTCCAACGCTCTAACAACTCAGCTGACTGCAACGATACCCATAACTAAAAATAATGAAACAAATAGAAGGCACTCTATCAGTAGTTTATCTAATAATTAATAAATACGTATCGTATGGTACAGGCTGTAGTTGTCTTTCTGTCTGTCTTGTAGAAAATTTAACAGGTGTACTTTACATAATACTTTTTTGCAGCTGTATTGCAGAAATAGTTATTCTGTTGAAGAAATTTCATTTTTAAGGATTTGGTGTTGAGTTACTTATGGAGCATTTTATTACGTTTAAAATAGCGAGCACTGTGCACTTTAATAATTAAGAAGCAGTCTTAAGGCAGAAAATTTGAATTTGTAGAAAGTTTAATTAATTTTGTTTTCTACTATTTATGGTGTTCCATACAGGTGAAGTATGAATATATAGGTGGGAAAATTCTTTTATAAATATGCATTCTTTTTCTTTAAAGGGGTTTTTCAATGTAGCTCTTTCCTTTATGTGCAACAGGAAATTCTCTAGTATACATTAAACACATTATCATTATCATTATGAGGACACAGCCCCGATCCTCCTAACCGGCACAAGCCCGACGTATAATAAAAAAATCTGATGTGTACACCACATGACTTCCTTGTACGGAATATTAAATTATACGCATTTTTCTTGCATTTTATTTAAACTTATTAGATTGAATTAAACCTACTTCGCCGACAGCGCATAAATCACAATAGATTAAATGCAATCTTTAAAATTCACTTTGTTTACCATAGCGACACTCTGGCGCTAGGTTTACTTAATAGTATTATATTTCGTTCATATTATAACTCAGAATGCACAAAATTTATATCATTTAAAGAATAATCTAATCGTTGCCACATGTTCTATTCAAATATCATAATAAAACTAGAACTATGTATAAAAGAAATTAAGCAAACAAAACAAAAAAGAAACAGTTTTTCACAGACGATTGAGTATTTCTCATTCAATTAATTCAGTTTTCACTTCGCTACAAGGCAAAAATACATAAAAACTCAAAATATCTGTATTAAAAATTACGAAGTAAATATTAAACGCTTATTTCCTCAGAAAAATTCCAGAAAGGATTAAGTATGATTTAAATAATAAATGAAGGCGTTATCTTTGTTGTTGCAAACCTAAGTTTCTCTAGATTGGCAAGAAATCCTCTACTCAGCTATTTCAAATGTAAACAAGAGCAATGGTCGCCATCAAATTAGGCTTAGCGGCACTTAAACAATTTTAAAATTGTTGATAATTCTAAAAATATTGCATACAGATTTACTAAAGGCATAAAACCCTTAACCGGACGATAAAAACAACATAATTTAATCATTTTTTTAAAGCAAAAAATGTACAATTTACAAACATATAAGAGTAAAGAAACTGAGATCACTGAGCTGTGTAACAGAGTGGATATATTTATAAATATATTTATATACGTTTGGCGCGGCCGACTGAAACCAAAATACGAGGTGCACATCTACATGTTACAGTAGTCTTATATACAAAATTTCAACGTTCTGAGGCTACTCGTTTTTGAGTTATGCGAAATACGTACGTACGTAAGTTCGTTCGTACGCACGTATGTACATACGTTCGTACAGACGCCACGAAAAATTCTCTTCAGAATTCATTTTAAAGCAGTTTTTAGTTTTTTTGGAGGAAAAGAGTCTTTTATTCTGTCCTTACGTACAGATATCACGCAAAAACATCGTTAAATTGCATTCGAAAGCGGTTAAAGTGGGTATTTTCGTTGAAATATGCTGCCTGAAGCTTTTCGCGATTATAATACTTCCTTTTTACTTCGTTTAAGGAAGTAACAGTGGGACTGCCCAGAAAAAAAAAATATAAGAAAAACATATAAATTCCAAAATCTGAGTCTCCGTGCCGAATTCCAATTCTATCTTTAATGGTATTTATAATCTCCATTATTGTCTCTGCAAAATCTTTCAAATTTGAACAGTTCTTTTTAAAATCTTCCTTAAAATTCTTTCTATATTTCTCTCTTGCACTCCGGGTAAGCGTACATTCGCAGACAAAGTGCTTGACGTCCTCAAACTTATCACATATTAAGAGTATTTATCTAATAGAACTACAGAATATTTATCAATATTCTGTAAAATAAGCCGGGAAACGTCCGTGATTAGTCAGTACCTGATTTATATCAACATTATTATTTGTAATATTCGTCTTCTTGTTTAACTTTATATTTTTCATTAACTCTTTTTTCTTACTAGATGACTCCCAGCAAAAACTCCATTCTGTATAAATCCAGTTTTCCATTTCAGTAATGATCTTTTTCCTGGAATCTTAGATAACAAAATTATCGGTCCCATCACCATTTTAGCAAGGGTGTCCGCCTTTTCATTTCCGACAATTCCACTGTATACTCTCACCCAGTGTAAATTTATCAATATTTTTTCTTTGAGCCTTTTTAAATAAGTCTTTTATTTCATTAATCAGACGATTTTTATGATCTGGTTGGGCGAGTGCCTGAAGTACAGTAGGGCATCAGTGCAAATATTTATAACACATCGAACTGTTAATTTCTTATTAATTCAATTCAAAGCTTCTGTTAGTGCGTCTAGTTCTTCTTGATAAACCGAATAACATTAAACACATATTTTCTTTTCCCCACTGCTAAACGTTGAGGCAAAAAATGAATAAAATTCATTTAAAGCTTCTACCTAAATGTGATTTGAAAGAACCGAGGATGCAGAAAACAGGATGCTGTTCCCCAAGATTTACTTTGTAACTTAAATGTGTAATTATAAAGCCCTTAATTGTAATGTTTTATCTTAATTGTGTTTTGTTAATTAAAACTATTTAAAAACTCCAAGTGAGTCTTTCTTTATGTTAGTTTTGGTTATAATACGTAAAAACAATGTACGTTTCTAATTTAGCGTAAGCATGTTTTTATCATTTATTAATAAGCATTTTTGACCTCCAGAAACCACAGATAAAGTTAGTTTTCATGTGTATAAAACCAACACACCGTAAAGAGTAAACTACTTTTATATATTTATACACCTGATTTTATTAAACTTCGTTACCAGAAGTACATGTTTAGGGTAAAATTTAAGAAACTTCCCACTGCAGCAACTTTTTATGAAATATGATGTATAGTTTCCTAGTAATATATCATTGCGTTGCTTCTATTATTATTATTATCTTAGATTGTTTAACGTAATACAGTTTATTTCTTTAAATTTTTGGTGTGCATGATTTAATATACTTCTGTCATTACATTCTATTATAATTTAAATGAATAACTACTTTACCTAAGTTATTAAATGCATGCAAAATCTCGTGGCCAATCATATGACCGATGGCTGCAAAATTCAGATATCTGAAACATTAATAAACATAGTTTTATCAATCATCTTACTTTAGAAATTTTATGAGTGAAATAATAAAAATAAACGCGTTTGCTGTGGAATTTAAATTTTAAAAAGTACATGTGTTGTATATTAATAACTTACTGTGGTCGATCCTTGTTGAAATTGGGATCCTGTAAAGATGCTACGGGCATCTCTGTAAAACAAATGCTATATATAAGGAATGTACCCAGACACTAGAAATAATCTCATGCGATTCACTTACATTAACCGTTTCACGTGGGCTACAGAGACTAATTTCTTATGCATTGAAGCCATTTACTCAGCAATAAGTTAAGAATTCAATTAACCAGTTAAGAATTCAATCAGCAAGCAACAGATGAACAAATTGACAGTGTTTGCCATTCCTTGCTTTAAATTAAGTATCAAATTTTAAATTTCCATAGAGAACTAATTTTCTTTGAACTTTATTTAATGTAGTGAACGCGATGGACATATATGTCCTAGGTCTCAGGGAAAAGTAATAGTTACAAATTGGAATATTTCCCAAAGAGTTTTCTCTCTCCGAAACAGTTGCTTTTTCCCGTTGAATTTTAGACATAAATACATATGGTATCAAGCCGGATACAAGTAATTACATCTTTTCTAAAGCGTTTTGACTAATCCATAGTCCGAAAAAATTTTCATGATGAGTCCTGTGTACAAAGGAATGGTGAATATGCAATATGAGTGAGCTTCGTTGCATCTACAGAAACCATCCGCATCAGAATTTCTTATTAATACATCAGAAGATAAATGTTTAAATTTTAAATATCAAAGAATATTAACACTACAATAAGATCTTAGAAAACAGAAAAGGATTAAAAAATTTTAAGTAAAATTATATAAATACTTAAAAATTAATTTTTCAAAGGAAAGGGTAGGTGCATTTTTTCAGCAATATCATCATGTACTTACCCTGAAATTTTCAAATCAATAGCTATGAGAGATGTTTTAAAGAGTGCGTGCAAATATGAAAATCACAATTTTGAAAAAAAAAAAAAAAAAAAAAAAACCCAGTTTTTAAAGTTTAAAGTTTCAAAATTTTTAATATATATTCTCTTAAATAATACTAAAACAGTTTAAAACCACTCAGCTGCAACACCATACCTTCCTGTTCTTAAATAACTGTTACTGCAACAAGTGTGGATGTTTTTATTGTTCTGCGAGCATCAATTGTAGATGTCTCTGCCTTTCTTTCGGCTGACTGAATATGACGTTGATCAGTGTTTGCTACAAACGTGACTGCATTATCACCAATTCGGTATCCAAGTTCATTCATAGTATGCAATCGCCTAGCTTGGCCATCGTTGTATATAATAACTGCCTCATTCACTGCTGTCTTAACACTATTATAACCACACCCGGAATTTTTAGGACACAATTTCCAAATCAAAGCATTCAACGATTTATTTTGGATTCTTTGCATGTCTTCCTAAACACGTTTTTAGTAATAATTGCACGCTAAGATCTTTAAATATATCTTTGGTAGCATCCATTACAGTTGGTGGAATTGAATTTTTATGTTTGTTACGATTTCAGATTTTCACTCGCACTCGCTGTTTGATATGTACACTACGAATCCTCCCTTGTTGGGCAAAAATTGCGGGTAGATTCCACGTCGGTTGGACTTTTGTGGTAAAATATTCCACACACTGCCTTTTGCATATCTCTTACAGAATTGCAGTGTTTTCTATTAGCATTTCCATAATAAATTGAAAATTGGGTTATATTATCATCCATAAGGCCATCTTTTCCACGGAGAGTTTTACTGTCACTAAGTTTCTTCCACTTCATTTCTTGCTTTCGCTTTCCTAATCTAGTCCCCATTCTTTTCTGAATCTGTCCAACACATTCAATTTTACCAATATGCATGATGTATCTGTAAAACTTAAAGCAATCTACGAGTGAACATTTGTAAGCAGCTGCTTACGAATTATTATTACTATTACAAACCATATTAATAACCCATATATTTGTATGATTTTAGTGGCTCATACATTTTTAGACTTCATAGAGTAATGGATATAGCTTTTGACATTTCATACATTTTTACGTGTCTTTTAATCCTTCGTGTACAGCGCAGGATTAGAATCGTCAAAAGAATTAAAAAAACGTATTTTGGTCTTTTTTTCATCTAAACGTTTTAGTAAATGTGTTTTCTCCAGTGTAATGGTACAAATAGATACACATTTTAAGAAGTTATACATATCGTGTCTCGTGATAAGATGCATGCAGCATTATGTTTTTTGTTGCCTTTTTTAATTTTTAATTATTCTGTCTTTTGGATTCTAAACTATGGGGAAACTATGTAGATGTTTCAAAATTTTTTTCACGTTTTTCCTGAAGTCGATAAAGGCGGAATATTTGGCTTTTTACATGAACTTTTGGCGGCGGACAAATATTTTATAATTGTTAACCAGTTTTTCAAGAACTTTTACATTATTCCATTTACGCACCATTATGTTTTTTTTCCTGGTTATTAAACGCAGTTTTAGAATACAGTTGAAGGTGGTTCTTTGCTCCAGTTGAAGGTGATTCACGTTATTTAAGACTTCCCATCAGTAACGCTATGAAACTAATGTAAATTACTTTAAATTGTTGCAGATTTATGCACATTAAAATGTTAATTGGTTTTTATAACATTGCTTTCTTTTATGCTTTCGTGTTATTGTTTTCATATAGGTCTTACTAAATATATATTAACTGCTAGTCATTAAAACTGCTGCATCAGGAATGAAGCGCACAGCATACCTGAAACATGCATGAAAGGTCGAATGGGATATGCAGATGTTTAGTGTTTCTCGATATCCACACATTACAGGCTATAATAATGATATCTGGAAAGAAAATAAAAGTTTAGATTAACATGTCAATTTTGTTATTCGGAAATCGCGTTTTATTGATTGTTTTTATTGTTGGAATTGTTTAAGAAGAACGAACTCATACGAACACGTGTTACAATTCGATCACATGAGAATTCCATCCTACTAAGCTGTAAAATTACCGCAGCGCCCGATTGCTGCTCGCTCTGAATATGAAATCAACTTATGACAAGAACTCAGGACAACTCTCCACAAGAAATCAACTGGGTTAAAACTCAACTTATTAGAACCGTTCAATACAGTTCGATAGACCCAGAAAGGCCACACAAAACACAAAACTACGTGTTCTTAGTCATCAATTTCCGATATGGTAAATGTTATTTACTTGTTTTTACAAATCGTACAGCCGCATCATGGTCCTAGGTCAGGAAACTACGCATGTTTGTTGCATAGCACAAAATATCCGCAAATATTGGGGGATGCCATGTTGTCACGGATTGTCGACAAGGCGCTTATTGCCCCAGTGCTCCTTGGCGTTTTGCCACAAGTCACAGTGCCTACAATGAAGTAATCAGCGACTCTCATGGTTGCTCCATTGGCATGGCATTATCTTCTTTGATGAATCTCGCTTTTACTTACAGCATCCTAATGATCCTATCCGTGTCTGGAGACACTGATGGGAACGAACGTTAATAGCTCGTTTTCTTCATTGGTATACTGTTTCGGCAACTGGAGTTATGTTTTGGGGGAACAGCGCGTGCACATCCCGTTTGTCTCTTGTACAAATATCCTGTGCTTTTTAGCTACCGTTAGATTGTTGGTATCTGAATGACCGTAAGTGTGCTCTAACTTCGATGTCACTTTAGGCCCATCTTCCAATATAACATTGCGAGACTTCATGCTGTCCACGTTCTTTGACATTTCCTCAACACAAAGATATTTGACTCCTATCTTGATCAGTTCGTTTGCTTGGTCAACGGTTGGCATATTTCACAAGTGCACATCTGTCCAGTAATACTTCTGTCCTGTCACATGACCTTTCGCGTGCTTTAAGCAAGATGGTTGAAAATATTCTGTCACGTAATTTTCTGTACAAAATAATTAAAGCATCGTCGATTGCTTCTGAAACTTTTCATTGCGAAGTTAAATCAATTATAGGAAATTATAAAGATTTCACTACCTGGTTGAAATAAATACAAACACATGTTGGATACTTCGCAAAAATATCGATGTGAAATATTACTTAATAAGTGGTAAATAAGATGAAGAAAGAAATATGTGATAAACATCTGAGCCCAAATGCAATCTTTACATAAAACTATGCGTATGAGAAAAATATTGACCCCAATTATATATGCAAATAGAAGTCAGCACTTTTTATTGCAGTCTATCTATATGAAAAAGATGTTCTATAACCAATGCAGAATTTTATTCAAAGTGAACTTTACTAATTTGCATTCGTATACATTTAGTGTGTTAAATTTCGCATTTAATAACTGCTCACTCTTAAATGTACTGTCTACACAAGGAATACTCGTCAAATAGAGTGAATTTATCGTATTCACAACGCGTATATTCAATTTATTCACATATAATTTTTAATGTTAAATATGGACATAATCAGATCATATATATTCTGAATCTTACACTTTAAAATCAAAAGAATGCTAGCACTGAAATAAGAAAAAACTAGATTCATTGTAACACTTTCAGTCATTCGCAGCTGAATTAAAAAAAATATACATTTGAATTCTCTTAATCCACATAATATGCAGTGAACAACAGTCCTAATATTAATGCGTGATAAAAATCGCGAAAGTGAAATGTCAGCAATTAATCAAACTCAGAAAACGAAAGCACTACACATTTTTCTACTACTACGCCATATATTTATAACTGCGAAACAAATGCAAATTAAAACGTAAACAACATACGCTCACATGCACGAAGATTTAGCGTCACAAGAGCAATAGCAGCTCATTGGTTCACTTTCAAAACCCCTCCCTCAGTGGCTACGCTGATGTGCACTTGTGAAATATGCCAGTGGTTGCAGAGAGAGTGGCATCCCAACACCCACCAGCCATTAACTGCATTCTTTTCACATTCAAGATGCAAAGCTGCGGGACATGTAATACGCGTAACTACAATTCTCAATGTTCAGCTGTACAGCAGCTGCCTTTGTTGCGAGAGACGGACACTCGGGATACTGATTTATGCATACTTTGGGACTCCATATTATTTAAAATTTCAATCATTTTTATTGCTTTCATTCCTAATGTAGCAATTTTAATGTCTACAAGTGTATATGTGAAGCGTATCTTTGAAACTTTTACGTTTCTACTTTTGTCCTAAAATGAAGTTTATAGAAGAAGACTTGTTTTCAGATTCGTTCGTTTAATTTATTTCCCATCATTGATATTATTAAATACTAGTATTTCAATATTTTCATTTTGGAGGCTGAAAGCCTTTAACAGCAAAAAGAAGGAAAAAAGAATATACCAATAGCATTTTCCTCATATGAATATCGGGCGTTTGCTGTAAATGTTTCCAAGATGATATCCCGTCTGAAAATAATTTTTTAGCTTTTAACATGACGTTTCTACTGTTATAGAATTTCTAGTTTATGGACTAAAAGTACAAGTTTTAGAATGAAAGTCTTATAGATGAATAATAAAGAAAAAATATATTTTGCCTAATGAAGTTTTATGTATTTAAATTTCTCTGTACTTATCCTAGTACATTCATATAAATTCTTAATACTTTTGTAGGTTATTTGTTGGAATGATTTTTAACTTCCTCGTTGCATTTTTCTTAATTTCTGCATTACTCTCGAAATTTTAATTTAGAAAGCATAACTTAGTCTTCAGGTTCCACTCTAGTGTGTGAAGCAAGTGATTAAGCAGACTTTGTTGCAAAAAATGCCTTGTTGATAAAGCTATACTTTGCAAAGATGACTTAAGCCACGAAAATAAAACCTTAGAAAAGGTGAAATATACTCTGTTGTTTAAAAGTCTTTTAATAACGAATCTGAAATTATAAACGCTTGGACTAAATATTTTATATGAATTAAAATTTACATCAGTAACCTATACTACGATAAAGAAATAAGGCGACGATATCCGCAACAGGTTTTTAAATATCTTTTTTCGTAAATTTCCGTTTCTGTACATGTGGTGCTCAGTACATACCGTATATGACGAGCTTTTCTCATGAAGTCTTTGCGTGTGTCTTTAACTAGCAGTATCAGGAGTAACATATGTTTAAGGAATTACCGTATATCACTGATTATAAAAATATGCATCGTTTCTGGGCAACAACAGAAAATTACAATGTGATTTTTTGCATGTTTTGTTGTTTTTAAACAATACCATATTTAAAATTTTCTATATTACTAAGTTCATACAGAAGAGATATATTTAAAATATATGGATTTTAAAAATGTGATATAGCCTGAAGTTCATTACCGATTTTACATTTAAAATTTTTGTCTTTTTCAACTCACCAATTCGCTGTATAGTTTAAATAAATATATTATATGGAAATGCTTCAAGAAAGGTTCTTTTGCTGGTATCATATTAGTGAACAAGAAAAGCAACAGTTTTTTTTTTAAATTTCCCCCTATAACGTGGTTTATCGCCAGGTTTTCCAAATTTCTGTCCACACATTTTAAGTCGAAACGAAAGAAATGCTTTCGATGCTGTGCTGTGGGTACTTCAACCAATCTAAATAAAGTAAGGATTATAAGACCTCCCAAAACATAATTACAAAATCTTCATGGACCAAATATGGATCTATACGTTCTTTTCAGGATGCTTTAAGAAAGACAAATGTTTTGCAAAATAGTTCAAATACTGTTTAGCTGCTTCGCTGTAAGCGGAAAGGTCAATGCCAAAACGTATTTATTTCTAAAATACTACTTTAAAGAATGACGTTTCATAAATTTATTAAAGTAAGAATGCTCAAAGTTATCTAGTTTTTGAGGGTGATGTATGTGGAAAAGGTCACTGTAATTAATTCCGGACGAAAGCAGATATCTTGATGTAGAATGCTGGAAAAAGAAAAAAACAAATGCTCGCATAAAAGCCATTGAGACCCAATAAATTAGAGGATAAATCTATGAAATTTATGCTATTGGTCTTGAAGACTCATACTTTCTTTTAATCGAGGGAAATGTGCTGAGAATTCTGTAGAAGATCGTTCTCTCTTTATAGAAACGATTTTCAATTTGAATTTTGTCATTAGCTTTTTGAGATGAAGATGTTGCATTTTTTATATAATCGTCTACTGCTGTTTTGATTTTATCGGAATGCAGAATAAGACGTTAGCCTTGGAAATGGCTCCTAAAATTAATAGATATCTTGAAGATTACGTAAATGCTGTTTCCGAAAAGAAAGTATCGAATCAAAAACATTTTAAAGAGATGTTGCAGAAAGAAAACCGACTCTAGAAAATTATATGAAAAGCACTGCGCTGCTGATATATGAAAACCTGTGGAACTGAGAGCAAATGCTCGCTCTGGTCTTATATAGGTTTAACCCGGCCGCCAAGAAATATCTAGTATATTCCATTTCTCGAAATTACAGAAAGCATATACGATTAATGTTACTTCTGAATGCCGGATACGGTTACCATTACATATCTACATTAATTATATTTACTCAATCACAATACCAAATGCAGTTATCCATGGACCGAACCCCATTGTCGCCAAAAGGTGGCCAAGTCTGGCGACTTTTGGCTAATTTTCGCCAAACTTAGGGACAAATTTTTTTTTCCAAATCCGTCACCAGCTTGGCAGTATATCGCAAATTTAGCGATATAGACATTCATTCAATGTTAAATAGACTTGTCCCTGTATTTCCGAGAAAGCTTCGCTTCTTTGGATTTTCAAGTTAGATTATACAAAAAAAAAAAAAAAAAAAAAAAAAAAAAAAAAACCTAAAAATTTTATGTATTTTTACTAAAATACTTTAACATATATCCGAAATTCGTAAGAATATTTATACAGCTAACATACAATTACGTAAATAATTATTTAATTAATGTCAAAATTATTATATTTTACGAATAATAATACAATAACAAAATTGCTACAAGTTCCATATAAAAGTTTTAATTTTAACAACATTTTGTTAATTAGAGTAACAATGAAAGATTTGCTTCTAGTAGAAAAAAAATAGTAAATAGTTCTGATATCTTCAAGCTCACAACATAATGGCCCACACAAAAATTCAGGGCTTCGCCTCAAATGGTCAAGTTACCTACGGCTAATTCCAAAGCTGAAAAATCACAAATTGGAAATACGATTCCAATTAAACAGACGATAGGTTTAAGTCTTTCTTGTTTTCAGAATTCTCAACAAAATATTAAACCCTTTGAACAAGAAATGAAATTCTAGTAAGCTTAGTTAATGATTCTAGCAGATTCTGAAAATGAGGTAAAACAATGCATCGCTCTGTAGCTTATAATAGCAAATCACTTTTATCAAATTGGAAGAAATATTCTACCATTTACAAAACAATCAATCGAAATTTATAATCCGAAATTAATGATGCATCCTAAATTAAGTTTGTTAAAGTAACAACCAAAACTCTAAACAATCTGCTGCATGTGTTATTTAACACACGAAACTTTGATTCAGTAGTCACCACTGATTTTCGAACAAATGATTTTTATACTCAGTTTCCTTGGTTGTCGCCAAATAAGTTTCCAGCAACACTGTCTCCCGACACAGTGAATGATAACGATTCCTGGCGCAGCTGCTCGAAGACCTTTATCTTACTAGCGTCTACGGAGAGAAGGCAACTTTTGGGATCGTGATCTGATCCTCCTGTGCGCATCTCAATTTGCGCATATGCTGCCGTGCACTTCGTGAAATTTTGTTTATTTACGTGAAGTACTTTGTGGTTTTGAAATTTGCGTTATGTGTTGAGAATGGATGAAATTGTATTACATCTGTATTTGATCTACAGTGAAATACAGTTCAATTAATAAATTGGTGTTTGTTAAAAAAATTAATTTATGCTTGGAGATAAAAAAATAAAATTTTTGCTAATGAAAGTTATTAAGTAGTGCACTTTTCATTAAAAAAGTTCATTTCTTTTTATACATTAAACATTAAATTAATTATATACATTAAAAAATAATGAAATATTACCTATGATTGTTGTTAATTAAGCATGCCTATCTTCTGTAAATTATTGCTAAAACATGTGCAAATAATGAGGAAATATACGTTATGCTAGTTTATTTCTTAGCAGGTAATCACAGGACCATGATAGAGAGTGTCTATTATTTGTTCCTGAAATTTCTTTATTGCTTATACTAAGCTTATGCGTTAAAGTGTATTAAAAAGCTTATTTACGACACATATGAGCACATTCTGTTGCATCAGCTATGTGATAAGTTGGTGTTACAACTGGCATTTCAACTATGAATTAAACTATTGACATTTCATCATCTGTACAAGAGATTTTAATTATATCATTAAGTCGTGCATGTGAGACAAATGCATTAAATTGTTATTACAATAGTGTGAAAACAAGAAAATTAAAGTCAATTTCTTTGAAAAAACTGTTACTTTTTGGAAAAAATAAATACTTTAGACATTCATATTCATCATGTTATTCTCATTATATTTACAATGTCAAGCTAATAATACCTAAGTATTATTTGTGATAATTTATCATTTTAAAAGAGGTATATTTAATGTCAAGGACAAGGTTGACAAAGAAAGTATAAGAATTCTTTCTGTAACTAACATGATTCACTACTCAGTACTAAAATAAAGAGGTTTATCAATCCATGAATAACGTGTTTTTTGTGTACATTATCTTACTGGATGGTTGCTGCCAATGAATCGACTGTCTGTGTAACAGCTGGAGAACAAGGTGCTCAGAATTATCATTGATGCTCTGTGTTTTGTCTTAAAAAACATACATCAACCTGGATTTTAAAATGAAATTAATAGACATGAAGCTTAAATAGAAGTATCTAATTTTAAAATAACTGTAAGAGCCATAGCTGCAGTTTACTTAATAGATCAGATATTTGTGATTTTATCATTGAGGAGCCTTTCAATGGCTAAGGATTATGTAACATAACAGTATAGTAGTAGACTATAGTTAGTAAATTTGCAACATTTTTATTGCTAGTTCATAGTTGAGATATTAGTAAAGACCATTTCAGGTTGAATGTTAGCTATAACATTCTACCTGAACTGCCTACAGTACTTCGATCTTGCATGTATTTTCACTTACTGTCTCCAGAGGCAGTATTTTTTGTTTTTACATCCAGAGCTCTTTGATAGTGTTTTTTCCACACATGACAGTTCAACACAAATCGAAAACGGGGGACACTTCTACATAAAAGAAACATTCAATTGTTGGATGGATAATAGTACTTTGTACAGTTTGGTGGCATTTATGTAAAAATTATGTGTTGGTTATTTTTCAATAACTTGCAACAGTGATTTTGATTATAAATTTGTTTTAGGAAATTCTAAGCTACTGGATAACAAAATACAGATTTTAGCAAAATGTTCATGTTATGCGTAAAAAATGAA